TCTTCTGCGTTGATGCTTCTCTGAACTTTGATGGCAATGAAAACTTAGCAATTACATTTAATTGATGTGCTTTTTGGAGAAGCTTTCAATATTTTTCCATGGTCGTTTCAGTTGCATGCTTTTCTGACTTGTGAGATTTGAGAAAATTACTAAGACTTCCCCAGCCAGTCATAAAGATCTTTGTTCCTCTGTAACCTGATGGGGAGGAAGCAGAAGTTTGTGTCTCAGCTTGACTTTTCTCTTGCTGTCTTAGAATTTTTTTGATGGATGCAAGTCTAGTACTAAATATCATTAATAAATTGTGACCTATGTGGTGATTTGAAATGCTCTTTAAGCCTCTATTTATTTTTTCAGTCCTTCTGTTAACATCCCGAAATACTTACTTTACAAAGACTAGTCTTCCATTATCTTTTCATATTTAAGTCATTAAAATGTGTAGAATGTGGATTTGTTTCTTCTCTTGTTCCAGAAGAATATCTGGCAATATCTCTCTGTAGGTCTAGAGACTTATCCTTAAACATAGTAAGCTTCTGTCATGTGGTTGTTTAAAGAATATGCAAGCCCATAATAACCAGTGCTATTTTACATAATGCCACAGAATATGATGCTGGCTGGATAGGTTCTTACTTTGCCTCACTAAAGCTTGAGGACAAAAGTAACAATCTTGTATAATATTGGTTGCAAAACTTCTATTAATGAATTCATATACAGCCTTTCTTGTTTGACTGTCCTAGGAAATGTAAAGTATGTTTTTATATCTTCAAATAAAGCAACAGCCAGGAATATAAATGTAAATATCTATCCTAATTTACCACTCTCACCCCACTTCTGACACGTTACAGTTCTTATTGCATGAGACAATCTCTGTTGTAGGAAAGCCTCTCTAATGGTTACAAAAACATAAGTTTAGTTTTTACCAGTAATTCTCAAAACCAAATTGTCTAAACAAACAACTATGAACTGTTTGTCATCAAAACTTTAATCTGGAAGTGCAACATTTGCTATACACTGTGCACCAGGAGCTCTATTAATCACTTTCATCTCTGAAAAGAACATCAAATATAAAGAGCACAAATCAATGTTTACTGGAGTCTTGTTCTGAAAGCTTTGACTTGTTCTATACAACTGAGCACTCAAACTGTTTTGGTGGGTTTTTTTGGGTTTTTTTAACAAGGTATGATGTTAAAGCAATGCTATTGCTTTACTGCTCAGCAATTTGCTGTACAAACTCCAAATTATCTCCTGATGCACTTGTGATCGTTTGTCTCTCGTTTTTTCCCTTATGTGAAAAGTTAGGGAAGTGAGTTGCCTGCATAACCAGTTCCCTCACAGGACTGAAGAAACATGAGAACAGCAAAAGCTGATGTATGGTTAAGCTGACAGGCCTAGAGAATAACAGAGTGTAAGGAACTAAGATTAACTGCTGAATCTCCCCTCTCATGCCCTGGGTAGCATAGGTCTGGCCTGAGATGCCCCAGGCAGTCATGCAGTTGTGAATCCTGTGCAGACACTCTTACTAGTGGACACAGTAGGAAAAAAAAAAAAACTTGTTTTCAGAGTAAGTTTGCAAGCAAATCTTGACTGTAACTGTTTAAGTGGGGCGAAACAGAGATGTGTTTTCACGACAGCGCAGTACTTGAGGGTTTTTAGATACTTGGACACCTTTGGCTAACAAAATGACCTGATATGTATTTACAGAAGCAGCAAATTACTACTACGTAATAATACTGAGATCTGGAGCAGAAAACATAGTTGCAACTCCTTTAGCAAGCACTGCCAGCTCCCTGAACGGAGATGCTCTTACTTTTACTACAACATTCACTATGTAAGTATAAAGAAACTGTTTTGGAACCAGTCTCAACTCTGATGGTGGAACATGCATAGAAACATTTAAAATCTTCATATAAGGATGTCATATGCTGCAAACAAATATGGTGACATCTTGTGATATAGGTATTTCCTGCTTGAAGAAATAGCTGGAATTCACTTCTCAAAAGAGCAATCTAGACTTATGCTACCATCCATCAGCTAATTTATCTCTTTCTACTTTTGTTCTCTCCTGGAACACCTGCAATGACAGATGGATTGCTCTGCCTGAGATGATGTGGATTTTTTAGTCTTTTGCAGCAACTAACATTTTATATAACTCCTTGGTTTTGATGTCTGGAAAAAATAGTACTCAAAACTAAAACTTCAGCTCTCATATGTTAGCTAAAAGGGTGTTGTGAGTTCAAATGGCATTTGTTAGCAAAAGTCTTCCAAAATAAATAAGTAAACTCTCTTTTTAAAGTCTAACCCAACTGGAATTTTCACTTAAAGCTATTTACTCGAAAAAGCCCTGATTTCTGTTTCTAGAAACGTGTCCCACCAGTGAACCATAGGCTGCAATCTGAGAAATGGCAGATGCACCCTATCTGCCCCTTGTCCTCCTTCCCTTTTGTTCTTTCAGTTCTAGAAAGTATCTTGAAATAGTAATACACTCAAGTGTTTAAAAGAGTGTGCTGCTTGCACTAAAGAGTCCTATTGTGAAAGTGAAAGGATCTCAAGCAGCCCTATTGGCCTGCAGGAACAAACTATGACTTACCAGTAAGCTGTTAGTCCACACTATGGCTAAGCTGCTCTTGCACAGAACCTAGCTGCTCCCTGGGCAGTTTTAAGGAGTGGAAGGAGGCAAGAAGTAAAGAGTAACTTTAAAAAAAAAAAAAAAAAAAACAAACCCAAAACAAAACAACAAAAAACCCCACCTAAACAAAAACCCAATAACAACAAAAAAAAACACAAAACCAAAGCAACAATAACAAAAAAAACCCCACACAAACCCCAAACCACCCCACAAAACCCCCAAAAAAACCAAACTCCTCTCTGCTTCAATCTGTTTAACTGATTTTTTTTTTTTTTTTTTTTCCCCTCCTCCCTTTCAGGCATGATGTGTCAAACGACTTTGAAATAAATATCGAAGTTTACAGTTTGGTACGTATTGGTTCCTGACAAGAAAACGTATAAGAGAGAATGATGTCTTGCACTTTCTTAACACCTTCTTGCCTTACAGGTGCAGAGAAGAGAAGTTACAAGCACTGATAAAAGGAAAAAGGCGAATAAATCAAAGGTAAATGAAACCTGAAAATCAGTGTAGTGTGTTTCAGCAGAAGGTACGCCAGGAAGACTGTAGCTGACTAATAATCTGAGACAATCTGTTGCTTCTCTTCCTCTTGTTCTTTCTGAACATCTGTAGTAACAGATGGGTTATGGAGTCCTGCAGCTATTAGTAGATGGGACCTGCAGCACTTGGTTGAGCCTGAAATATATTGGAAGGGCAGAAGTCTTGCTAGTTCTGCAAAATTCCATGTTTTGCAAACTTATTTATTAGGTGTGGTGCCTCTGATAGTGATTTAGTGCCCTTATTCTCCACTTTGTTTAAACTGGACCAATCAATACGCCCTATGCTGCAGTTTTATTTATCTTAAAGGTTCTGTTGATCAACTGCAATGCTTTTCTTTCTTCCCAGTGTTAAGTTAAAAGCACCAGGTGCTTATTTTTTAAAGCTAATTTTGTGTTAATAACTCCTTGGACATAAACATTTAAACTTGGATAGGATGCATGTTTTAAGTGTTTGTGCTTTATTAAGGCTTTGTGACCACAAACAAGCCAGTGGTTTTCTGGAAATGATTTGCAGGGCTTTTTTTGTTTGGGTTTGGCTTTTTTGGTGATTTGTTTTTGTTTTTTTTTTCTTCTTGTTGTTCCAATAGCTGTGCACACAGTGTATTCATGATTTTAGGTCTGATTTGCTCCTTGTCTAGATATCTGTCACTTAATAAAGCCAAAAAACTTGAGCGTCTTTCAGAACAGTTGGAGTACTTAAATCCTGTCTTTGCAAAAAGAAGTGAAAAAGGTCTACTCAGTGTTTTTTTTCAAATGCATGCTGTCCATCCCAAGCTAACGCGTACTTAAACTTTTCTGCAGTAAATATTTCTTTGACATGTGGCATTCTTTCCACTGAAATATGTTACATTCAGTCAAAAAGCAATACTTACTCATTACAACAACTAGTATCCATTCCAAATTTATTTAGATAGGCCTTCAGTAGTTTCACTCTAATTTTCGTGCTGCTGTGATGGCCGAATTCAGTAGCAAATGCATTTCTCTTTATTCTTTTGTAGGTTATTACTCCAAAGAGATTATTAACATCTATTACCTCAGTAAGTATGAATGCAATATTGTAACAAGATCTGGTTATGACCACTTTCAGAGGCCATATTCTGACAGTGAGCAAGGCTGGGCCCGTAGCAAGCTCCTTGTGTCCCTTGAAACTATAAACTGTCCAGCTTTCTGCCAAACTCTTCAGCCATCAGCTCAAAAAATAGGTGATACCTCTAAATATGTAATGCTGAAAATATGTAGTTACATGTTTATTTGGACTTTCTTTTCAAGTTTTGTGTGTTTGTTTTAAAATACTTCAGATTTAGTCTCTTTCTAACCTAGCTTGGGCCTTCTGTAGAAATTGTCAGAAATTACTTTTCTACTAAGCTTTTATTTCTCTCTCTTTCTAGAAAAGCACCCTTCTTACTCCAGGTGAGTAAAATCTCAACATCTTATGCCAAGATGAATAATCTACACTTGCTGTCTAAAGCAGTATATCAATAAATAATAGTACTTGTAACAAACTGTAATTTGGAAGTAATAAACACAGATTATATCAGTTTGCCAGCCTAGAAACTGGCCATGTGTTTATATCTGAGTTACCATTATGTTTAATGGAAGATGTTTTCACAAAATCAAAATTAGTATCTGGTATCAGATGCCTGTGGCTTACATCCTTTTCCTGAAAAGGTGAACTCAAACGAATTTTAAGATTTTAAACTAGAGCCTGATGTCAACAAAGTAAAACATTTCAGAGAAAACTTGAAAATATGAACAGATTCTGAAGTATTGCTTGTGTGTAGTGCTTTTAACGTGTTTATATATTCCTGACTCTTGGGGGAGAAGAACAGCATCTCTGAGTGTTTTTCTAACAACAGAAAGATGTCTGATATGCTCATATGTACAAATAAAGCCTTTTTAAGCCTTGCAGGTTGTGTTGTGTCACAACTTGACCTTAAC